GATCAAAATTTTTAGTATTTTATTATTTTTAATTGTATTAGAGTAATGCAGGGTTTTGTGTGAACCTGTCAAAAAGAAAAAAAGAAAAAATAATCACTAAGTTTCATTAGGGTTGGCCATTCGTATGCACAGGTTATAATCACTAAGTTTCATTAGGGTTGGCACTTCGTATTCGCAAGTGTAGGTGCAAAAATCCGTCTGACTAAGAATAGTCAACAAAATCTCTACAATTACTACACCAAAAATATTTTTTTTCGTGGTTAGTACTCACACACACATGTCTCTTCTAAGACTTGAACTCCTGACCTCCCTTTAGGAAGTAAGATGCCGATACCGCTAGGCCACTAGCCCATTGGTTACTATATCCAAAATAATAATGGAGAAAAATAAGGAACTAGAGAAATTGTACAGAGATGAGGGAGTATTTTGATAATATGACCTAATCTAGGATTACCTAGATTGCCTATGTATTCCACCTCACAGAGCGTGGGAATCAGGTTGAAACGTAGTTTTGGCTATGAGAATTAGATATCTCTTGTGGGGGTTTTGCCCTTTTTTCTGTGTGTCCTTTATTGGTCCTAAAAAGTTACACAAAAAATTACCTCGGACTCACTAGAGCCGAAGTATAAATTTTATAAATGGCCTAAGACATAGAAGAGTGCCAAAGCAAAATACGTCTCCTCGAAAGAAAGTTCGAAGGCAGATTTTGCAAAAATAACGATTAAAGTAGCAAAAGGCATGAGAAGTCGATCATCAGTATGAAGAGTCTATACGCATGAAAAGTCGATTATTAATAAATAGTGGTAAACAGTGCAGAAGTTTGATCATCCGAAGTTGATCACCAATGTTAATCATGAAAGTTGAAGCTAATTGCTCATGAAAAAACACTAGGTTGATCTCCAGGCTGATCACCAAGGTTGGTCACCATTATTATTCATTAAAGCTAGTCACCTAAGCTAATCGCTAAGAGTGATCGCTATCAACCTGAGAAAATAAAAGCACTAATAGCTTGAACAAAAGAAAGCTCAACATAAGACGCCACCTTTGAGCATGGGGGCACTTCACCTACAACCTCCTCAGAGGCCTTGATTTTGGGTCTTCGTACTTTCTAAGAAGACAAATATAAGTCACCGCCATCAAGGCATACTGTCCCAATTTTCAACTAACATAACTTTTGGTTTATTATAGTTTTCATTACAATTCATTAACTACGATTAATTCCCTCTAGTTGTGACCGCCACGTCAAACTAAAGGGAATTGGAGGCAAAGTGTGGGGGCAAAAATCTCGCATTCCAATTAAGGCAAGACACATCAGCACATAAGGGAACCACCACAAACACTGAGACTATTCAACCTTCAAATTGGGCCTTTATAAGAAGCTTGGGTTGGGTTAACTAAGCATAATCGGCTGAACTCATTGAAAATGTCCGAAATGATGAGACCCCAAGCCCAATTACGAATATATTACTAAGCCCATTTTTAGTAACAGTTCTATTAGAAGAAAGATTATAATCTATGGAAACCAAATAATGTAAATCCCTATTATAAGGATAGTATAATGTGATTCAAAATTTTAAGGAACAAGCAATGCGAGTCCTAAAAAGACTCGATTATGGTTTTTCCTATATAAAAAGGGCTTAGGACCCTCAATAAAGAACAGAAAAAAGGGCAAAGCCTCCAAAAGAGAGATTCAATTCTCATTGCCAGAATTACGTTTCGACCTGATTATCACGCTCTATGAGGTCTCTGTACAATTTCTCTAGTTCCTTATTTTTCTCCATTATTATTTTGAGTATAATAATTGTAGAGATTTTGTTGACTATTAGTCAAACGAATTAGCAAGTTATAATCGTATCATGTCCATTGAAAAATATTCTACTAACAGCTCAATTTAAAAATATTCTACTAAAAAGCTCAATTCAATACTAGTCTGGCCCGACCTGTGATCGTCAGATGGTGGCGAAGGAATCACCTTAGCCTTGCTATCTCTGGTGGTATGTCCAATCCTCGCTCTCTTTCTCAAAGTTCCTCTCTCTGGTGTGTTTAGATATTATTAGTTATGAGAGAAAAGAAAAGAAAAGAAAGGATAGTTTAGTGAGAAAAGAAAAGAAAAGAAAAGAAAGGATAGTAATAATTTATATTTGTGTTTGGATAGGCAGGGGAGAAAAGAAAAGAAATGATAGTTATTCTTGTTTGGATAAGATAGAGGAGAGAAAAGAAAGGAAAGGATAATAGACAAATTACTTTTTTACCCTTTCATAACCATGGGACTTGAATGAAATAATAAATCTGTGTATTGATTTGTAGAGGCTAATTTTGGTATTATCAAAATACCACTAAAATCACTATCCTTTCTCTCCCTATCTTCTCAAAATTGAGGAGAAAGCAAATGAAAGATAGAGAGGGATAGCTATCCCTCCCTTTCTCTCCTTATCCCTCCTTATCCCTCCACTTAACTTATCCAAACACACACTTACACTATCATCTCTTTTCTTTTCTCTCCCTATCCCTCCAAATCAACCCTACCAAACACACCCAAAAGAAAAGAAATGATAGTTTAGTGAGAAAAGAAAAAAAATGATAGTAATAATTTCTATTTGTGTTTGGATAGACCGGGGAGAAAAGAAAAGAAATGATAGTTATTCTTATTTGGATAAGATAGAGGAGAGAAAAGAAAAGAAAGGATAGTAGACAAATTACTTTTTTATCCTTTCATAATCACGGGACTTGAATGGAATAATAAATCTGTGTATTGATTTGTGGAGGCTAATTTTGGTATTATCAAAATACCACTAAAATCACTATCCTTTCTCTCCCTATCTTCTCAAAATTGAGGAGAAAGCAAATGAAAGATAAGGAGGGATAACTATCCCTCCCTATCCCTCCTTATCCCTCCCTATCCCTCCACTTAACTTACCCAAATACACACTACACTATCCTCTCTTTTCTTTTCTCTCCCTATCCCTCCAAATCAACCCTACCAAACACACCTAAAAGAAAAGAAAGGATAGTTTAGTGAGAAAAGAAAAGAAAATAAAAGAAAGGATAGTAATAATTTCTATTTGTATTTGGATAGACCGGGGAGAAAAGAAAAGAAAGGATAGTTATTCTTGTTTGGATAAGATAGAGGAGAGAAAAGAAAAGAAAGGATAGTAGACAAATTACTTTTTTATTCTTTCATAATCACGGGACTTGAATGGAATAATAAATCTGTATATTAATTTGTGGAGGCTAATTTTGGTATTATCAAAATACCACTAAAATCACTATCATTTCTCTCCCTATCTCTCCCTATCTTCTCAAAATTGAGGAGAAAGCAAATGAAAGATAAGGAGGGATAGCTCTATCCCTCCTTATCCCTTCCTATCCCTCCACTTAACTTACCCAAGCACACACTACACTATCCTCTCTTTTCTTTTCTCTCCCTATCCCTCCAAATCAACCCTACCAAACACACCTTAAATGTCGGTCTCTCTCAAACTTCCTCTCTCTAAATGTCTCTCTCTCTCTATATCTCCTAGTTTCATGAGAGAACAGCATAGCCAATTCCCTGAATTAAAAAAGAGGTGCTCTCTCTCTCTCAAATTTTCTCTCTCTAAATCTCGCAGCGCCAATTTCCTGACTAAAAAAAGATTTGAGTGAGTGAGTTCGTTACTCTGTTAAAGACGGTTAGTTTTAGCCATCGACTCTGGTTAGTCAAAAGTTTATGAAACACCTGCCATGCATGTGATTAGAGAATTTAGAGGTACTATTTTGTCTACTTAACTCTTTATATCTTAGAAATGAGAAATATATATATATATATATATATATATATATATATATATAGAGAGAGAGAGAGAGAGAGGGAAAAAATGGAACAAAAAGAAGTCAATGCATCAAAGTATATAATGCAATCTACCTTCCGAATAAATACATATAATAGAACAACCATCAGTCTTTTTTCAATTAGTTAGGGTATCATGGATATATTTCAATTTCGCTTTATTTAAAGCCATAATCCTAATCAATCTATGCATTAATTATAACCACAAGTCTTTTTCAATTTTTGCTCATTTTTATCTCAACACTGGCATTTCTTTCACACTCACATTATACACGTGCTGTTTCTTAATAGTTGTTCAATAAAACTTCATTCCAATCGCAAAGAGATACGTCTATCATACAATATATTACATGCAGCCTATTCGATAGTTAATCATTACTGTCATCTCTAATTTTTCTCCGATTTTGATAATTAAGCTTAAATAACAAAAATGAAATGTTCACTTCAAAAAATAAAAAGTACCAACTCGAAGACTTTGGCTAATATAATTTTAATTTAAAATACTTTAATTATATATATTATAACAAAGGTGTCTTAATATTAGAAATGTTAGATTTTACAATGGAGAAAAATAGAAACACTTCTAATATTGTAGAGCTGTTGCACAAAATCTCAAAACAAAATGAACAAATCATTTTTATTTTTTTTCTCAGTAAATATAACAAAACAATTTTTGACAACCTAGGAAGTACGGATACTTGTAGAAGAGTAACATACCGGTACTCGCAGATACGTGTTTGATATATCTTAAACATAATTTTAAAACAATTTCTAATAAGTATCCGATACTTCTCAGATATTTCTTGATTATTTCGACTGCACATCCGACACTTCATTACAAGAGAACGAAGCTATTGTGACGGATTATTTGGGACAATTTAAAAATTGTCTCAAATGAACTTACTTTTTGGGACTAGGCCATTGAGATAAATTATTTGATACGGTTTAAAAATTATCTCAAATGAGCCTAATTTTTGGGATGACAACTTACATACCGTCCCAAATGAGGCAAAAAAAAACTGGGAATATTTTTGGTGGGAAAATTTGGCAACATTGTGTATTTCCGAAATTTTGACGCTCTGTTAGCTTCCGTCCCTAATTCCAAATTTCCACGTCCAAAATATTAAAAAATTTCCATACTACACCGTTTTGGGTATTGTACAGTTGTAAACCCACGGTCTCTCTCTTCTCATTCTCCTCTCTCTCACTCTACAACCTAACGTCGTATACTCTCTCTGTACAGCTGACGGCGCCGCACCAGTTGCAGATATTTCATGCCGGTTCGGCTTGCCACACTCTTCTCGGCGTGGAGCGATATACATACGAAAAATCAAGGCTAAGAAGGAATTCATTTGTAGAAGCATAGTGAGGAGGATCGATTGAATTTGGAAGGTCTGCTTTTTCGCTGCTTCTAATCTCTCTCGTGTCAATCGGAGCTCACTCTCTCTTTCGATCGGTGATTGAAATCGACAACTATCCGTAAGTTTCCGCAATCAATCTTACTGTTATTGTGTGCGTAATTTCTTCAATGGCCTCCACACTTTTGATAAATTACCCCCAAATTTTCACAGGCATGTATGTATATATATATATATATATATATATATATATATATCAGGTATGTGTTTTAGTACGTTGTTTATTTTTATTTTATTTTTTCTTTTTCAATTTTTATGCAAACAATAGCAATTGAATCCATATACGCAGGTGTGAAATCAACATGTTGAAATATTAATGACCTCAAATGAAGAAAAGACAAAAAAAAAATTGGAATCCATGTTGAGAAATTGAAAAACTGATTTACATTGGAATTGTTCAGTTGGTATCAAGTTGATTTTATGATTGTCTTTTGATTCGGAGGTATTCAATCCCTTGCATATACAAGCGAATTAAATTTGTGCCATAATCTTAGAAGTTGTATCATCTTGAAGTTTTGGCTCTTTTTATTTTGGTTCGATATCAATTTTGAGTTAGATATGTTGTAACCTACTTATCCATATTATCACTTTTCTTTCACTTTATTTAAGATCTGTTGGCTGTAGATATTACATTCAGAATGGTACATAAAACTATGTTAATAACTACTTTTCGCATTTCTATTTTTCTTTTCAATGCTCAAAAAAATTGTTTACCTCTCGAGTACTGTTAATGACCATTCATACCGAACTCACCTATCCATTAAGGCAGGGGGATGGAAGAACACTTGTATATAAAAAGGCAGGAGATAGAAGAATCAATCTAAAGCAATCAGAGCTGCAACAAAGGGCGCTGTTGGTGCCTCTGCAAGCCCTCTTTTCACTTTCAACACTACCATTTCGTTATTGCATAATCATACAAGTAATCTCACTCCCAACTACAATTGTCTCCAGCATTATCAGTACCATCACTGATCCTGCTATCGCCACTACTCATATCTTCTTCCTTCCTGTCTACTTTAATACCACAGTCTTTCACTTGTATTATCACTTCTTTCACCACTGTCTATAGTGAACAACAATTTGCATCACCGCAATTATTATGCCAATACATACTTCCACCTTTGGGAGAAAAATGATAATTGTTTGTGATTATCTAGCTGTGATTCTGTGAATGTTTCAAATTTATACTTTGCGGGAGAAATGTAAATTAGATTTAGAAAAGGAAAACAAAGAACAAGGAAAAAAAATGGCTAAAAGGAAGCAGATTCTTTCGTTTGTTTGTTCAATTAACTTAAGAAAGGCCACAATTGCAGATTTGCACCATGGCATCCACATCTATTGAGGTTAACTCTGATTGTCTTCTGTCAAACTATTTCCTTCCTGTTGCGGTGAAACCACATATATAAGCTTTGAATTAAGAAATGATGTTATTTTGGAAATTTTTTTTTTTTTTTTTTTTTTTTTTTTTTTTTTTTTCATTTAGTTATTTTGTTTTTTAGTTGCAGTTCAGGGCATTTGCATCAATATAAACAGGAGCAGGATCAGGGGCAATAGCTGGTCATTATTACAATAGCTGAACAAAAAAGAGTGATGAAAGAGCATCTGATGGAGGAGCTAGCAAGAATTGTCCCAATAGTTTCCATGCCAGAGGTAATTAAGGCTTAGACTTCATTAAAGATGTTAACCCCTAAGTTGCCTACTCTATCCGGAGTTGAGTATCTTCTATTTGTTTTGCAAAGAGATAATAAACAATTACAAACATAAAATTAAGTTCTTTCAGATTGGTTGACTTGATTTATGTGATTTTATGTTTAATAGAGCTTCATTTAAAATTATTTATAGCTTGACAAGATTATGGAGGATCGTTTGTCAAGGAATGTGATTTGCAGTGGAAAGAGGAAATCTAAGTCAAGTAGTATTACTGTTGAAGTGAGTAATATTAACTTTTAGGTTCTCTTGTGATTAGATTTATTTATTCCGTACAATATGTTAATTTATGCTACTTTGCAATAATTGGAAGCGAAATCTATTTTCCATCATATATTCATGACCATTTTCTTTGAAATGAATAAAGAATGACAGTATCACAGTGGATGATCTAATCAGTAACTTACCAGAGGAAATTCTTTGTTCTATCATATCACTGCTGACTATGAGAGAGGCTGTTAGTACCATCATCCTGTCAAGAAGATGGAGATGCTTGTGGAGAAGAACACCTTTAAACCTTGTTTTTGATGGTTCAAACATGAATGGAAATGGTTGTCAAATGGACCAACCGGAAAATCCAGATGCCAGCTCTAAACAGCAGGAAAAGCATAGCTTTGTGAGATGGGTCAATCAAATTTTATCATTACATTGTGGTGCGAGTATAGAATCATTCACGGTGGAGTACTGTTTGGGTGTAGAGTACAGTTCTGACATTGATCGATGGATTCAATTTGCCGTGGATAAGAAAGTTCAGAATCTTGATATAAGGTTGTCCCAAAATAACTGGTCTTTAGAAGAAGACCAAGAGAACTATATATTTCCTTATTGGCTATGTACACGGGGTAGTGGATCAACCTTAAAGCACCTGTCTTTGAACCTTTGTAAGTTGAGTCTTCCTCAAAGTTTTAGCAGTTTCAGCTCCCTCACATCCTTGGCTGTGGAGAAGACTAGGCTGACTGAAGAAAATGTTCAGAACATCCTATCCAATTGCTTATGCCTTGAGTGGTTTAGTGTGACAGGTTGCTTATGTCCAGCACGTTTGAAGTTTGCTGCGGGTGGATGTCGATCACTTAAGTTAAGACACTTAAATGTATCTGATTGTCCATATCTAATTGAGATTGAGATTTGTGATGGCATAAATCTTGCATCATTTGAATACACTGGGAAACGGTTAAGCCGGTTATTGTACAAGAATAAAGCAGAAATTGCAAGTCTTTCTGTTCATACTCCAATTCCTTTATTTGGTGTGATTTCTGAGCCTGACGACCTTTCAAGTGATTTTTATTTTCGGAATGTAAGCCTTCCAAGTGATTTTCCTCAGCTCGAAACTTTGATATTGACCTTAACTTATGTAAAGGTATTTCAGAGCATTATTTATTTGTTTATTATGTTTCAACATTTCTTGTCATCATACTACTTTGATAATATTTATGTCTATTTATCAATCTCTCATTGTCCTTCAGGAAGATAGGGTTCCTAAGCTTTTACCAACATTCACTAAACTCAAACATTTGGTGTTAATATTCTTTGGACGACATCCAGAATACCCCTTGGAACTGATCTCTTCACTGGTGAAGGCATCTCCTATTCTGCAAAAGCTTGAGATTCATGTAAGTCTTTTTATGCATTGAACACTTGAGAAGGATAAATGGTTGGAAGGTGAATTAATGGAGTTATGTTCCTTAAATTCTGTGCACAAAAATATGTTCTCTAATGCTATCTGTAATGTGCTTGTATTGATTAACCCATGATTGCTATTGTTTTGGTCTGTTCGTCTGAACCACATATAGCAACATCTTATAAATGTTTCGACTTGGTTATAGATAGGGCCATTTAAGAATTAAATATAGCAACATCTTATAGATGTTTCGACTCTGTTATAGATGAGGCCTGTTTAAGAATTAAATTCAAGGAAATCTCGGTTTCTTGTTATCCAAATGATAAAATATACACTTTTTTTGTTGACCACGAAGACAATATATTTGGAAGTTTCTATCCTTAATTTCTTGAAAATGCAAATGTTATGAAGAAGCGAAAATGGTTTCCATCTTGGAGTGAGATTTTTATGCCTGTTCAAATGTGAAGCAAAATTTTTTTTTAAATGTGTAGCCTGTTCAAATGTGTAGCCTTCTGTTCATAGTCTTGTCCTATGAACAGAAGGCTACACATTCTATTATGAGAAACACTTGTATCATTGAATCACCCTCATCAGTCATCAGGTCCAATATATTTTGGTTAGCTTTCACAGCTCTCATTATATATTGTTTATAAAAATAAATTTGTTATGTTCCCTCTTTTATCAATTTATTTAATTTTTGGCATGTTTTCTTTGTTGGGGCAAATTAATGAATATCTGTTTTTTTTTTACGTTTTTTTTAGCTTCCGGTGTTCGAAAATAAAATTGTGCAGAAAAAGATGAAACTGTATTGCCACAAGCATCTCAAGGAAGTGCAGATACACAATTTTCAGGGTTTCGGAATGAAAGTTGAGCCTATAGTATATCTGCTTAAGTGTGCTACTTCCATTCAGAATATAACAATTGGCCGTGATCTATGGAGTTACGAAGGCAACGGTGTATGGTCAATTCCTAGTTTTGATCGAGGTGAAATCAGAAAAAGGCAAGTATGTAAAAAATTTCGCGGAAAGGTGCCCTCCACCACTAGGTTACGAGTTTTGTGATAGCACTTGATTAATTATTTTTAGGTCTGGTGATGTTTTCCTGTTGTTATATTATGGTGGTATTTATTTGTTTGCACATTGAGTTAAAATGAGTTACTCTTTCTGAAAGAGTGACTTATTATTTTGTGGGGGATCTTTCCTTGAATTGTTTATTAAATAAATATGAGAAGTGATAAATCTTTCGACTTCAATTGCCGACTACTCCTCCGAATATAACGTGGTTGGGAATGAGTCGAAGAGAAAGAGATGTTTACGGGAATTTTTTTAAGTGTTCCAATGGGATCCAATCACGTTGTATTCGTAAGAAGAGTCGACAATTAACGTCGGAAGATCTATCATTTTTCAATAAATATTGTAATCTTGTGCTCCACTGAATGCGGGTGTTAGATTATTTTGGGGAGAGTTTGGTTTCACAATTGGGCTAATGGGCCATTGTTTTTTATTTTTATTTTATTTTATTATTTTTATTTTCCTTTCCCTTCTTCTTCTTCTTCTTCTTCTTCTAGCTAAAGTGGGTTGGAGACTTCAAGTAAAAAAGACTGGTCTGTTGTATGAAGTTTTGAAACTAAAGTATTTTCCTTCCTCAGATTTTTTGAAAACGGGAAGGGGGTATAATCCATCTTGGGCTTGGAGCAATATCTTGGCGGCTAGAACAATGGTGGAAAAGGCAAAAATATTTTTTGTTGGGAGGGATAACTGGATTCCTCAATCAAAAACTTTTAGGCAAAGCTCTGTTTCTAATTTTTTTCAGGCTTTTCGAGTTTCAGGTCTTATAGATGTTCGAACTAAATCTTGGAAGCCAACTCTCATTTCTTAGGTATTTTGCACTGATGCTAAAAAAAAATCTCTAGCTTCCATTTAATGTAGAGGAACGAGAGGATAAAATAGTATGAGAATATGACTAGGCTATTTTCTCAGTAAAGTCTGGCTTATTTAGTGGCTTTGGAACTTTGTGAAGGGCCGTATCAAAGTAGCAGTGCTCAAATTGAAAGTAGTAGCGTTTGAATTTTGTAGAGCTATTGGAAAAAGTTATGGAATGTTACCGTCTAAGATTACTCATTTCCTTTGGTGTTATTTGCATAATAAAATTGCGGTCTTTGAAAATTTGAAAAGAAAAAGATTGGTTGCGGATAATTTGTATATAGTTGGTGTGAACTTTAAACATTTATGCTATGTTCAATAGACATATATAAGGAAAGAAATAGTAGTCATCCTTCCTCCTTCACAAATAGTCTATTATAGAAGTTTTAAATTATTACATCACTCTTCATAAATATTTAATATATCCCCCATAAATAAAGTAAATGATGGGTTTAAGGGTAAAAATAACTTAAAAATTTGTCTTTCCTTTTATCTTACTGATTAAATTAAATTGTCAGTTTTTTTCTCTTCTCTTTCACCCAATCAAACAAAAAGAGGAAAAGGCTTAATCTCTTCCTTGAATGATGTCTCAATCATCCTTTCTTCTCTTCCTTCCATTCAATTTTTTTTTTCTTCCAACTGAATAGAGCATTTATGTGCGATTGCCTCATAGCTTCTATGGTTTGGAGAGTTTACCCCTCGGATGTGTTTCAAATTGATGCCCGGGGAGGGTTCTTTGACGGATTGGTGGTTAAATTTGGTAAATGAATGGAAAGAAGCCTCGAATGGATCGTCTATTCAAGGTTTAGTAGCTACTACGTGGTTCCTATGAAAAGCAATAAATGCTTTTGTTTTCAAGTCTGAGTCGTGGTATGTTGAAAAAATTGTTTATATGGCTGTTATTAGTTTTATGGAATATTAAATATGTTCGGGAACCTTTGGATTCGATATTGAATGTTCCTTCATCGATGGTGCCTATTGATCGATCTAGGGATGGATGAGGCCTTCTATGGGTGTTCTTATGACTAATATTGATGTGGTTCTTAACAAAGGAGGAGCTGAGTGGGCTGATCTCATCAAGGAGTACTAACTGCAGCATCAATCTTCTTTTTCTTTCATATTTGTGATCCTTTTGTGGCTGAAGCATATGAATTGAGACATACTTTTTTGAGGGTTGTTAGTTGGAGTTTTGCAAAGGTGCAATTTGAAATGGATGCTAAGGTTATTCTTCGGATGGTGAATGAAAAACTTTCTTATCCTTTACACTTGCAGGTGTATATGGAGGACATTTTTTGTTGTTTGAAGTCTTCTCCTTCTTTTGCAGTAGACTTTGTCATTAGGAAGGAAATGTTCCTAAGTATGGTAATTGACATTCAAATATTATATATATATATATATATATATATAATTAGTTTAAAATATTGTTTATCAAAGCAAATACTATTTCTTCAAAATAATTAGTTTAAAATATTGTTTAAAATAATTAGTTTAATTGACTTTAGTTTCTTCAAACTTGTTCGAAATTGGTTTGCTACGAGTTTCCTCCCAACCAACTACAAAAAAAAAAATCTCATTTTGTTTACAAACTTAGATATCCATCCTATTCCAAATTCCTAACACATTTTTGTCTACTAAACCTTTCTATCCTTCAACAACGTCATAGGTCAGATGACGATGGAGTAGGTTCAACGTGAGTGATAGCGACTCTAATGAAGGGTTTGATCCAGGTAATGATGATAATTTGAATTTGTTTAATAAGTTAATTAAAGTTAAAAATAGAGAACCAATACTCTAGTACAAAGATGCTAAGTTGTTCGAACTCGAAAGCAAAGGGGAGATTGAGTAAAAAAAGAAAGAGAAGATGAGTAACAGTAATTAATGAAAGTATTTTTTGTCTGCGGTAGAAAGTGAATGACATGAGTGACAGGAGGTTTGTGGACGAAGGAGCTAGATTGCAGGTTGGAGTTCGTAGTTCACTCTTCTAAAATATTTAGAATACATTAGTGCCTCTAAACTCTAAGCACGTTCTAAAATCTTAAACCACTTTACAATGTGACATGAACGCTAATGTGTTGGTTGTTTGACGAAACCTCCTTTATATATTGACCTAACAAATAATACTTTGTCAAAAAAGACTCTTAAAGCTTTGCTTGGAGCCAATTACGATCTTACTAAATTGTTAAATATAATTTAGTTGTTATAAAATGGTTCAAAACACTACAATTTAAAATTACCTAAAAGTAGGGATATAATATGCTGCTTGTAATGACCCGGTCATTTTCTTCCTTTTCCCTTTTTCCTCAAATTTTGCGGATAAATTTTTTCCGTTATCTTTTCTTTTTTGTGGATAGTTTTTCGTCGCTTAGTGTCATTTTGAGTGCTCAGAATTGGTTTCTGAGACTCTTTCATGTGAATTGACAACTTCCTTTGAGAATCGAGTCATTTTCACATTTTTCGTTTTTGGACACTATGCGTTATTTCGTCTTTCCCTTATTCTGCCATTTTTCATATTTCGTCTTATCTCCGTTTGTCAGTTTTTGGCACAACCTCACTTCTTGTGCTTGGAGTTGGTTTTTGACTTCACGTATCTTCGTCTTGAGTGGTTTCCACGAAATACATATCTTTACTTATTCAGAAAAGTACTCTGGTTGCTCCCGGTGTCCATAGGGGTATGGATGCATAATTCTTTGGAATTAATTTATTTTCTTGGGGTATTTTTCGTAAATATCTTTTGAAGATATTTTATTTCAGGGGTATCTAAAAAAATATCTTTTTCATTTTGTGGCAATTTCGCAGTTAACCCTTTTTGTAGGGGCCATTGTGCAATTAACGAAAGTTATTGCAAAATATCTCTTCTGGAGCCTGGATCCTCGTACGGGATTCATTTTCACTTTTCGTTGACTCGTAAATTCATAGAATTCCGTTCTGATCGTTTTTCTCTAGTTTCAGAGTTTCTGGACCCGGTTGCCGCCAAACTTGTTCGGGTATAACTTTCTACTCGGGACTCAGTTTTTGACGCTGTTTCTTCCCTTGTTCATATTTTCTTATTGTGAATCTTTTTCGTTCACAGAGTTTTGTCATTTGAGCACGTCTGCTCAAATTTTACTTTTCCGAACCCGGCGAGGCCCGTTCGGGACACTTTTTGGATTTTTCTATAAAAGGGGGGTGAGATATTTCATTTTTCATCTCCTCCCCTCTTTATGCACGACCAGAGCTTCCATGGCAGCCCAAGGGAGGCTGCCACCACCTCTCTCCTCTTTTGAATTTCATTCCTTTGTTAAAAAGTTGAAGTGTCTTTACGTTTTGTGTACGCGCTTCTTTTACCCTTATTAGAACCCATTTCCGACCAAATTTTGAGTTTGGTTTTGAAATCAAGCTGTGATTTTCATGGGTCCTCTTTGGAGTTTATCGTTTATGGTATTGTCCTCGACAAAACCCCGAAGTATTGTCGGATTCGGAACCATTTCGTTTTGATGGCTTTTGAGATTTTTATCTCAAATTGAGGTAGAGGGAGTCTTAGGATTATATTTATGTTATATTGATTGTATTATGAGTATATACAATTTGTGAGCATGTTTTGTTTAAGATTTAGAATTTAATTTAATTAATTTCTATATTTGAGATTTAATTCATAAGGTTGTGTATATAATTTGGAATTAAATTGTAGCATGCTAGAAAATTAAGTTTTAGTATGTTGATTAACATATATTAATTTTGGGCATTTGGATAAGAATTACAAAATTTATTTAATATTCATCTTTTTTGAAAGTTTAATTCACATGGTGATAGCAAGCATGAAATCATGATGCAATGTGATATTTGGATAGGCCTTGGCATGTTCCTTAATATAGATTAGATTGAGGGCATTTGAAATTGTTTAAAAATCTAGAGGGAATTAATTAATTAGCTTGATTAATTTTGTTTGAAGTGTTTTAATCACTTAACTTGTCACTTGATGTTATATATGTGATGACCATGACATGTCCTTCAATATATATTAAATTGAGGTTATTTGGGATTAATTTGGAATTTAAAGAATTTAACTATTTATGTTTAATTAAATTCTACTTTATTACTTCATGGATTTAATTACATTTTGGAAGTTATTTTTATATTTAAATCATGGATTTGGATTTGGTGTATGTTCACTTGATTACTTTTGAGCATAGAATAACATAGTTGTTACTTTTATATTCATGAGAATATGTTTTTTCTTATTGAATATATTGTTGCTATGTGTAAGGAATTGCACACTTTGTATTTGACATCTTTCATGCCATAGTAGTTGTAGACTTTGAGCATGTATTGTATAAGTTTCCAAAATTTGGATTGTGCTTGGTAAATAGTTGATATCTTGAATATACATATTGATATATATATATATACGTTGTTGCACAATTTGTTGATTTTGGAAACTTGGGGATGTCGTTGTTTGGTTACGGCTAGGACTTGGTTTTAGTACGAGGGATTGTCCCTCTATATAGTCTAGTGCGCACA